TAACAATAATTTCAATGCCATAAAATAATAAAAAATTTTCTAATGTCAACTTCAGTGTCATGAATATTTACCTAATACGATAATTAAATTTAAAACAGCCTACAATAATAATGATATTAATTCAAAAAAAAAAAAAAAAAAAGTCAACAATAAATTGGTAATTTAAGAAAACAGAAAATGACTTAAATATTTACAGACTAACATCAATTTATTATTATTAATTAATGTTATATATATATTTATATATATTGTTAATGATTTATGGAATTTTAAATTGGCAGTTAGATGGCTGCAGTCTGTCAATTACTTACTCACAATTATTTCATTAATTATTGTTATTTCATTGATTTATTTATAAGTGTATAAAAAACTTTAGATTTATATAATTGAGCGCAATGGTTGCTTATTGATGAGATCATTGCCCTGTATTAATATAATCGTATAATAACTCAACATTCAGTGGTTTAATTTTTTTAATTAATTAATTAATAATTTCGATTTTTACTTTTACTTTTTTTTTTTATAATAATGAACGCAGATATATGAATTAATGAATAATATTATTTTTATGCAATAAAATTATCTATTTTTATAAAGATAATTTTTAATTTTAATTAATCAGTAGCTCACACCTCAATCACTTGTTTATTAATAGTTGCTTGACGGTCTTTTCTGTTGCTTCCAAGCGGCTATTCTTTCTTTCAAGTCAGGATCTGGAAAAATATAAATAGATTTATTGTATTAAATATTTTTTTTTTTTTTTCGTAACTTATTGATAAAATAATTAAAAAATAAATTTAAATCGACGTAACACTGTTATTTTATAATTAATTTAAAAAATACTAGTAATCTAGTATTTAGATAGAAATTTTAGATAGTAATTTTGGCTTAATGATTTTTTGATATTTATAATGACACTATAAATAGTTTGAATACTTTTTAAATAAATTTTTAAAATAATTGTGCTATAATTGGTTATTAAATTACCTGGTGTCAGCATGTCTTCACTCAACGGCTGTCGACTGAATGGATCTGTTGAACTATTCAATAAATGCCTTATTATAACAGCCTTATCCATAATTATACCAGAAGGTAATTTAACTGGATCTTCCATCAGTGTATCCATAAGTGGATCACGGAATTCATCCGGTGCATCGCCATAATCTTCTTCACGGGCAAGATTATCACGTGCAATAACTGCAGCACGTTCTGCTAGTGCCAAAAATCTTTCAATTTCGGTTGTTGTTTTAATATTAGCTCTTCCTAATCGATTTGCTGCATCAGTGAACAGTTCTTTACAGAATGATCTCTGTAAAAATAAAATTTAAAATTAATAAAAATTCACTTAAATTTTAAACAATTTAATTTTCTATAACAACATTGCTAATTTTTTTCAAAACAAATTTTTTCTCTCAGTGTTAAAAATCAAAATCATTAAAATTATTATTAAAATCATATGAATAAATAAAATTTGCTTTATTAAATAATGACTTTTGTTAAATTGCACAGTACTTTTTAAACTATTGAAATTTTTAAAGATATAAGCTCATTTTGATGTTTCACTCATCGAGACCTTTCATTTGAGTACCCACATGCCATTTTTTATATATTTTATATATTATATATATATATATGTATATATGAAAAATATATCAAAATGCATGTGGGTACTCAAATGAAAGGTCTCGATGAGCGTAACATTGGGATGAGTTTATATCTTAAAAAATGTCAATAGTTCACAAGATATTTGTTAAATTGTACTATACTTTCTTAACTATTGACGTTTTTATAGATATAAGCTCATCCCGATGTTACACTTATCAAGAGCTTTCATTTGAGCACCCACATGCATTTTTATATATTTTTCATATATACATATATATATAAATATATAAAATATATGAAAAAATTGATGTGGGTACTCAAAATTGAGGATCTCGATGAGTGTAATGTCGGGATGAGCTTATATCTTTAAAAACGTCAATATTTAAGAAATAAATTGTACTATACTTTCTTAACTATTGACGTTTTTATAGATATAAGCTCATCCCGATGTTACACTTATCAAGAGCTTTCATTTGAGCACCCACATGCATTTTTATATATTTTTCATATATACATATATATATAAATATATAAAATATATGAAAAATTGATGTGGGTACTCAAATTGAGGATCTCGATGAGTGTAATGTCGGGATGAGCTTATATCTTTAAAAATGTCAATAGTTCACAAGATATTTGTTAAATTGCACTGTACTTTCTTAAATATTGACGTTTTTGAAGATATAAGCTCATCCCGATGTTACACTCATCACGAGCTTTCATTTGAGTACCCACATGCATTTTTGATATATTTTTTATATATACATATATATCATATATATGAAATATATGAAAAATTGATATGGGTATTCAAATGAAAGGTCTCGATGAGTGTAACATCGGGATGAGCTTATATCTTTAAAAATGTCAATAGTTCTCAAGATACAAGTTAATTTTTCAATTATGTATCTAGAAATCCACAATTTTCGAATACCGCCTAATTATAAAATAAAAAATTAACCTCCCAAAAGTTTCTAAGAAAAATATTTATGCATGCAATATGTAATATTTAAAATATTTTTGTAAAACGCATAACTGTGATACAAATAAAACTCATAACTAACTAACTAACTTCCCAAAAAATTTCATAATTTACTCCCCCAAAGTAATAAAAATAAAATACTAACCTCATCACTAGCCAGCGCAGCAGCAAAATTATCACAGTCAAGGTGTAAATAAATATCAATCAGCTGTCCCAAAAGAGTCCTAGGCTCCCATCCATACTTAAGAGGTTTCTTAACTTTCAAATCTTTGCATTTAGGTCCACAAAGTTGCTTTAAATTAAAATTCAGCATCGCACTAAGCCGACAAACAAGTTCAGGCCGTAAGAAAGGTTCTGTAATATCAACAGTCAAATAATGAAACATCGAAACAGTTTCTTTAGCAAGGGTCAAATAAGACCTCGCCTGTCTTTCATCAGCAGTTAATTGTCTCGTTCGAGATTGCTGCTGTTCATTGGACATCGCCGACCAATTAGCTTTATCAGACATTAATTCTTGAACTTCATGGATCCTCTTTAACGATTCCAAGCTCTCATCTAGCAAGAAAGTGGTGTCGTTCATCAGCATGTTGATAAATTTAACAAATTGCTTTCCATTATTACTCTCATTAATTATCGCAACACGATGAATAGGACTGTCCCACATAGTTTTAAGTATCAAGCTAATGTGATACCTAATAGAAAATTTATCATAAAATTCTGAGCTGGATCCAGTTGTCTCCACATCAGTATAAAACTTCATCAAATACGAAGCCAAGTGTGTTTTAGTAATCGGATGAGACATTACTTGATCATGTAAAATGTCATTACGCCCCTGACTGCTTGTGTTGATAACAAAAAGGACTTCAATAATTTTAGCAATTAAATACGGATTTCTGATACAGTGTGGCGTGCAAATAGTCACCAATAGCCAAGTAATTAAAGAATTATCCAAATTATTAGCCACCACAGTCGGACAATATTGCAAAGCGAACAATAAAAACTCCGCTATGTCCTCAACATACCACTCTGGCAGCGCAGTAAATCTATGAGGTACCTGTTGTGGCAGAGGTAATTTAGGTAATGCAACACAAGCGTCAGTCTGGGTCAATAGTCCCAACAAAATTTCAGCAACAGATCCGTAAAAATGTAGCGACCTTCTAATTAAAACCGGATCAATTAATCCCGCATCAGCACAAGCTCTAGATTTAGTCAGCCGCTTAAGCTGCTGCTTCCAGCGTTTAATAAGCTCTTTATTGTGTCCAGCATAAGGCGCGTCTTTCCAACTCGACTCTGAAGCCTGCAAATCGTCCAACATTTTTTGCAACTCGCGCAATGCGCGTAATTTACGCCTGTATTTTTGCAACGCCGGCATTAGAGCAATGTGGTGACAATGCAGCGTTAAAAACCAACACTGAGTCGGAAATTTAGCTTCAGTCCACTTGTGATTTTTTTCTAGGTCCTTCAGCCAATCAGCCACTTCCTGGGAGGACAATTTAAGCCGCGTGTCATTTTTTATCTCTACCAAACTTGAAGGGTGAAATGGATAGAGCGAATCAATGGAGCTTAATTTTATTTTAACCGACAGCATTTGGAGGATTGACAATAAATTTAACATAAAGCCATCGCCTGCTAATGAAAATTCTTCAGTCTGTATTTGCACGCGTTTTTCATTATGCCGTAATAATGTTGCTAAATAAGCTAGTGTTGCTTCACGGCATGTGCTAGTTGCTAAAATAGCATGTACTATTTTATGCAATGAAGATCGAGTGCTCTCTAATTCTTGTTGAAGAGTTAAATTAATTGTCTTGTCATTTATTGCATTGCCGCTGAAAAATTTGTCTGCTACTTTTGGTTGATCTTCCGCAAATACCGAAACGGATAAAAATGGACCGAGAAAAGATGTCCGTGTTAACTCACGTCCTACGGCAGTTGTCATAAAATCGGGTAAAAATTGAACCTGGTGGGTAATTAATTTACAAATTGGCCGTGCATTGCCATTAGTACCGAGACGCACGTCGATTAATTCCTCCAGAGCTTCTATTGGACGGCGATGAGTGTTGCCAATTAAGCTGACTTGTTGCATTGATAAGTACAACCCTTGGAGCAGTGGTGTAAAAATTTTGTTGAAGGCTTGGGGGTTGTTGTTGGTTCTTGTAACTAATTCGTGCAAAAATCCACGAGGTAGAGTTTGGGACAACACTGGGTACAATAGAGGAGATACTGAGCCGTTGGAGACTGCGTCATCTGGAACCCCGATTATTTCTTGCAGAACTAGACTCGCGAATTGAACACACTGGGCGCGCAGGGATATCAATACTTCTGATATTGGGGGAACGCTGGAACGCTTTGGGTTATTGCGCTCTTCTACTGCGGCGCGGCTGTAACAGTCGAGGAGGTAAAAGAGACTTCGTGGGTGGTTTTTGTTTTCGTTGGTCACCATCAAGGGGAGTGCTATGGTCGTTGAAGGCTCCAGTGATGTTATTGCACTGGGGCTTATCATTGGGCTCGTTTGACTTGGGCTGTCTTCGCCGTCTGATAGGATGTCACTGGTTATGTCTTTTAGGGGGTCCTCGTTGTTGGCGAACATCTGGAGGACTTCCATTAGGGACTCGTTTACTAAATCTGTGTGAGGAATTGACCGGTCCAGTGATGAGTTTGATGATAAGCTGGGCAGGAATATTGCTTGCTCGGTTGGTTGCTTCCAAGAGACACGCAGGACGCGGGAAATTGTGTTGTGGATTTGGTCTGTTGAGACGTCTGCGCTGGAACTTGTGGTCTAAAATAGATAATAGTTCATTTATTTATTTTTTTTATTGACGTTCTAATTAGCAAATTGTCTAACTCCATTTTAGAGAGTCTTCTATTTGTACGAAAAAAACAATTAGTTCAAAAATTATTATCACTTTAAAAAACCATTTAATATCATTAATATCTAATAAAGGTATAATATTTTGGTTTGGATCATTCAAATAATTTATTGCCACATCAAAATGTTAAAAAATCACCCTCTAAAAAATAAGGAGAGACAAATTGCTAATTAGACCGTCGATATGATTTTTTTTGTTTACAATTGTTAATTTTAATTATTAAAAATTAATAAAATTAATTAGTAAATTTTTTTAATTTCGAAATTTTAGCACACTACTCTATATTATAAAGAATTAGGCTGGTTAAAATTTAATGTGATTTAATTTAGATGAAAATTAGAATTTCTGCCGATTGCATTAAGGAGAGGCGATGTCAGGAATGACTATCTGCGTTTACCAAGAAGTAATTCTGTTATCTATGAAAATTCTTTTCTGATTCATGGCATAAAAATTTGGAATTTATTACCGGTTGATATTACAGTAATTGACTATAATTTTACAGTTTAATAATGTATTTAAAATTGTATTACGAACACTGTATCAAATGTATACTTGTAAACTATTATCTTTATGTATTGTTGATGGCCCTGAAGAAGCTTAGAACTCCATGATAAAATAAAATTTATTATCTATCTATCCAAATATTTATGACTATGTTTCAGTATATCTATGAAAAAAATTTTTTAATAAAGTTTTTTTATTTATATTGAAAGGTTAAGTGTAGAAAATTATGGTAAATATTTACAAGGGTTAACCATTTTAATTTTCATTTTAAACGAAATTTCTATTTGATTTCATTTTCAGTTTCAAAGAGTCTTTATTAATATATTCAAAGTTACAAGTGTAGTATACAATATTGTTGCTTTATAATTCCTGTCCCAATGGACTCTACTTATAATAAAATTTATTACATATATTTGTAAAGAGTATGTTATTTTTAATTCAATATTTATTTTGTTTTTAGGAAAAATTGTTATTAAAACCTAAATTAATCATTTGATTTCATTGATATATATTTTTTTTTAAATACATAAAAAAATGAACAATTTACAAAAAATAAGTTGACTATCACAATTTTAACAAATTTTACAAACTTTCAAAAAAAATTATAAATTTTTTAGAAAATTGTGTATTTAACTTTTTTTTTTTTAATTGTTTGTTTTTTATGCACTTTAAAAAAAATATATATATCAAAAACATAAAAAAAAAAAAGATGAAATAGAAATTTGATCCAAAAACACGAAAGCCAAAATTTTTTCCAACTTTCAAAGATGATTTTTTAATTGAAATATTAATTTTTTAATATTTTCGAAAACACCACCATGAATCTGCCGTAAAAACAAAGAAAAAAAAAACAATTATGATGATCCATCAATTCATCTATTTTTTATGGCCAAAAATAAGTTTGACCCCACTAGTAAATAATAATTACCAAAAATAATTTTGGATGAAAATTCGCAAATTGTCTATCTAAAATTGTTTTTCAACTGGAGCTGGACCGGATGGGATTCCCAATATCTTCCTCAGGAACTGCGCTATCGGACTCTGTGAGCCCATAACTCATATCTTCGACAAATCATTACAGCTTGGAACATTCCCAACAGACTGGAAAGTCTCGTTCGTCAGCCCACAAATACACAAGGATGGCCCTAGATCATCTGTCTCCAACTATAGACCCGTATGTATTCAATCAGCACTGGCTAAGCTAATGGAGAAAGTAGTCTTACCTCAACTGACTTCCTCCTTCAAACACATTATTTTTACCAAGCAACATGGGTTTGTTGGCAGCAGATCGACGACAACCAACCTGTACACCTACGTCAACTACATACTTAATGCTATGGCTATGAACAACGGTCACAAAACTCATGCTATCTACACTGACTTCAGCAAGGCTTTTGACAGAGTAGATCATGAGATTTTACTAAGGAAGATGGAAAACTACGGTGTACATGGACACGCACTCAGCTGGCTCCGGTCTTACCTAACAGGCAGACGTCTGCAAGTCAGGGTTGATGGTAACTTATCTGACGAATACATGGTCACTTCAGGTGTTCCTCAGGGGTCGCACTTAGGCCCTATACTCTTCAATATTTTCGTCAACGACATCGGGAAAGAGTTTGATTCAGAGTTTATACTGTATGCAGATGATCTAAAAGTCTACAGAACTATAGCGAGCGATTGCGAGATCCTACAGCATGACATCAACACGCTAGCTACATGGTGCACAAACAACAGACTTGACTTGAATGTCAAAAAATGGGCAGTGATAGCCTTCACACGTGCTCATACCCAGGTGCCCACCAGCTATCTCCTGAATGGCGTCGAAATCGAACAAGTAGACTGCATCAAAGACCTTGGTGTCTTAATTGACAACAAGCTTATGTTCACCAAACATGTAGACAAAATCACACTCCAGGCCCTCAAAATCCTAGGCCTTGTCACAAGAACATGTAGAGATTTCAACTACCCGCATACTACGGTTAACCTATACCTTGCTCTAGTTCTGCCGATTTTGGAATACTGCTCGGTCATCTGGTCACCCTACACTGATATCTTAACCAAGCAGCTTGAGAGAATTCAAGACAAGCTATGTAAATATCTCTCGAATACATCATACTGGTCGCGAGCTAATGCCTCCACTTCAGATGATCTTCGCAAGCACTTCAAATTAAACAATTTGATTAATCGTCGTCAGGTCGCCGACATGGCTTTTTTTTACAAAGTGGTCAATGGAATCATTGACGCCCCGGAGATCTGCAGCAGCTTCGAATTTGCGCCTGCCAACATAATGTTGAGGCGCAAAAGGGTACTGAAAACTACTAAGTCTTCAAAAAACTATGTGGTGAATGGACCTCATGACAGAATAGTAAACCTAGTGAACAAATTAAATGGTGAAGTGGAATTTTACGGTGGTACTTTCAGTGCTTTTATGTCAAACATTAAAAAACAGTTACTTATGTACATATAAACTACACAAAGTTTTCTTTTTCTCGTCCTTTGCTTCGATTTAAATCATAATTTAATTTACTTTAATTTATGTTAATTAATTTTGAATAATTTCTTTATGTATATTGCCGATAGGCGTATGTTGATTAATAAATAAATAAACAACAAAGTTATTGTAAAAAAAATTTTGGTAAATTAAAAGTAAAATGGGTTAACCATTTTAATTTTCATTTTTTTTAACAAAATTTCTATTTGATTTTATTGATATATATTTTTTTTTTTTGAAAAGTACATAAAAAATGAACATTTAAAAAAAAAGTTGATTATCACCATTTTAACAAATTTTCAAAAAAATTTATAAATTTTACTTCCAAATAATTACCATTATTTTTTAATGATCTCAATGTTAAAAAATTTTAAATAGTAAAATTTAAATAAAGCCAAATACTGATAAATTGATAATAATTTATTTGATCATAATTTTGCTGTAATCTTCAATTAAATAGAGTATTACTTTAATTCAAGAAAATACTTTAATGAATAATCGTTTTTAGAAAAATGATTCTTAAATGAGCAGACATTTGACAATTTTTATCAATTATGAAAAAAAAAAAATTAATTTTTAAAAATTTACACTAGTAAATTTTTAAAATTTTTATGTGGAATTTTTTTATTAAAATTAAGTTAAGGTAAAAGACCCAGTTATTGACACTGGCCTAGTTGATTGACACTTGCAATTTTATTCTAATTAAAAAAATAAAATTTTCTCAAAAAATTTATAATTAAAAAATTATATTTATTAATTTATTATAGTCGATTCATTTTATTGAATTAAAATAAAATTGCAAGTGTCAATAACTAGTTCAGTGTCAATAACTGGGTCTTTTACCTTATAAAAATCCAAAAAATTGAAATCAACAGAATTGTAAATCCTTGTGAATAATCTAAATAATAAAGTAGAATTTTACGGTGGCAGATTCAGTGAATTTACATATAAACTACACAGAGTTTTTCTCGTTTTTTTTTCTTTTCTTTAATTAAATTCTAATTAATTTTAAATCATTTTTTCTGATGTATACTGCCGATAGGCGTATGTTGATTAATAAATAAATAAATAAATAAATAAACTTCATGAAAGTATTCTGTAATAATTAATAAAATAATATATAAAATAAAAATAATTACGTACCCTAGATCTAGAAGTATGATCTTTTCGATCTTGTTCTTCAACTTCCATATTTTCAATTCCCGAATCAACATCAATAGAAATATTATTCGTCTGCTTTTCGCTGTTTTCCTCAAAATCCATCGGAACATCTGTATCATTTGAGGATTCTTGAGGTGGCGACCGTTGCTGGAGTAATCCTGGAGTCGCTGGTAAATCAGGACCCGTCGAAGGACCTGGTGTGCTTGGAGATTCAAAAACATTATTTACACTCAATCCAGGAGAGCTCACTGGGTTGCTGTTGCTACCATCAAGTCCAGTTAAGCGGGCCAGTCGTCGCTTGCGCATCTATAGTAATAATATTTACAATTAATTTTCTTCCTACATACACTAATACATTAATAATTTTTTTATATATTTCTCCAGTATAAATACCAAAAAAAAATTAATTTTTAAACAATCAATTTCATTGAAAAAATTATAGTTTGCTTTGTAAAATACTAAGCCAGGAAAATTATTGATTTTTGTTAAATTATTGTCAATGTCACAAGATTTAATATTTACAATTATAATTTATTAATATTGTCCACTTTTTTTACTTGTAAAATAATTTATTTATTTTTAATTAAAATTTAAATATTAATAAAATTAATTTTTAAGATGTTTTATAAATAAATAATTTTTTGGTTGAACAAAAGATCAAGAGTCATGATAAATTTAAAAATATAACAGTCTTTGTCTCTCAGGTTTTTTTGATGACTCGTAATTTTATAAACGAATAAAGAAACAAAGAGATTTTCAAAAAAAAAAAAAAAAAAAAACTTGCGGGAAATATTGAAATTTAATTAGGGGAAAAAAAAAAGGATTTTTTTTGTACATTAATTTAGTGACAATAAAAAAAAATTTGTAATTTATGAAGAAAAAAAAACTAAAATAAATAAATGAATAATAATAAGACAAAGTGATAGTAACATTGATGATACATGACTTATAAAGCAAATCGAGGTTTTAATGTTACGTAGCATCCACAATAAAAAAAACGTATACTTACTTCCTCCTGACTCAATTCACTCATTATTAATTAATTTATCAGGTTATTTATTTATGAAGAATATTGACCACTCACGATGACAACAATCGATCAGCTGTTTGTTGTTAATTAACAGAAATAAAATAAAAAATTTATTGGATTTAATTTTGTTTTAAATCACCACCGATATGTCAGCAAATTGGAAAGTCACTCTTCACTTCATGCTTCACTCTACTACATCTGTTTGCATCTGTTTGAGTTTAGGCGTGGATACAGTATTTATAACTGAATTACGGCAGACATCGATGACTCCTAGCGGACATTTGCCAAAATAAAAACATAAAACGTTCGCGAATTTTCAGTTTATCTATCAATAATAAATTAATAAATTGATGACATTAAAGTTAGCTGTCACTTGACAAATTTTTTATTTCATTTAACAATTAATGAAAATTAAGTTAGGGGACATTTAAAAATTTTTAGAATTTTTTTTTATTGAAAAAATTAATACAAAAAAAAAAAAATTTCACCTGTTGAAAACTTCAAAAACTATAAGTGCAATTTTTTTTAAATATTTTTTTAGTTGTAATTTAATAAATTAGGCAAAATAAAAAAATCAAGATGGCTAAATTTATTATTATTAACAATTAAATTAATTCTAAAAAATTATTTTAAAAAAATGCATTTTTTAATTTTTACACCTCAATTTTTTTTTGCCATAATTTATTTGTCAAAAAAAAATAATACAATAGTCAGCCGACGTTTTTAATTTTTGATTTTTTTTTCAATTATTAAATTAAAACAAAAAAATATTTTTAAAAAATTGCACTTACAGTTTTTCAAGTTTTTTCCAAATGCAATTTTTTTTGTATTAATTTTTTCAATAAAAAAAAATTCTAAAAATTTTTAAATGTCCCCTAACTTAATTTTCATTAATTGTTAAATGAAATAAAAAATTTGTCAAGTGACAGCTAACTTTAATGTCATCAATTTATTAATTTATTATTGATAGATAAACTGAAAATTCGCGAACGTTTTATGTTTTTATTTTGGCAAATGTCCGCTAGGAGTCATCGATGTCTGCCGTAATTCAGTTATAAATACTGTATCCACGCCTAAACTCAAACAGATGCAAACAGATGTAGTAGAGTGAAGCATGAAGTGAAGAGTGACTTTCCAATTTGCTGACATATCGGTGGTGATTTAAAACAAAATTAAATCCAATAAATTTTTTATTTTATTTCTGTTAATTAACAACAAACAGCTGATCGATTGTTGTCATCGTGAGTGGTCAATATTCTTCATAAATAAATAACCTGATAAATTAATTAATAATGAGTGAATTGAGTCAGGAGGAAGTAAGTATACGTTTTTTTTATTGTGGATGCTACGTAACATTAAAACCTCGATTTGCTTTATAAGTCATGTATCATCAATGTTACTATCACTTTGTCTTATTATTATTCATTTATTTATTTTAGTTTTTTTTTCTTCATAAATTACAAATTTTTTTTTATTGTCACTAAATTAATGTACAAAAAAAATCCTTTTTTTTTTCCCCTAATTAAATTTCAATATTTCCCGCAAGTTTTTTTTTTTTTTTTTTTTTTTTTTTTTAAAAATTTTTTTTTTTTTTTTATTAAATTAATTCTAAAAAATTATTTTAAAAAAATGCATTTTTTAATTTTTACACCTCAATTTTTTTTTGCCATAATTTATTTGTCAAAAAAAAATAATACAATAGTCAGCCGACGTTTTTAATTTTTGATTTTTTTTTCAATTATTAAATTAAAACAAAAAAATATTTTTAAAAAATTGCACTGATAGTTTTTCAAGTGAAATTTTTTATTTTCTTCTTTTTGTAATAATTTCTCAATAAAAAAATTCCTGAAAGTTTTTAGATGTCGGCTGCAATTTTTTTAAATTTTATGTTTCGAATTTTCCTTGTTAAAATATTTTCATAGTAATTTAATTTTTATAAAAATAAAAAATATTTTCTTAAAAAGAAAAAGTTTACATAAAAAATTTAAAGTTGAATTTTTAAAAATTTTCCATACAAAATAAAACATAATTCTCAAGAATTTTCCTGTAATTTAAAAATATTTATTTTAAATTCAATAGTTAAAATTTTTCATCGCTCAAAAACAAAAATTCAGTCTAATCATTTGAGTTTTAAATGACAATTAAATCATAACTAACGATCTTTAAATTTAAGACTTTCATAATTATTAAATTAATTAATTTTTCAAGTAACTGTGACGACTTTAATCTACCTAAAGCTTAATGAGCAACCCTCTTGCCCTTAGAAAAATTTTGCTTATTTTCTTAACAAAGGGACTAGACTTTTAATTTTAAAAGTAATAAGTCTAATGATTTTCCTTATTACTTTCTTTTATTTTTTTTTTTCCTTCAAATTAAAAATTTTACATTTTTTTTTTACTGAGATTCAAATTTAAGCTCAAGTTTTTACTATAAATATTTTGAAGAATATAAAACATTTTTTTTTATAATTTTATTTTTAAAATTAACAGAAAAAAATTTAATAATTATTTTAAGAAATAAATAATAGATATTTATTTTTTTTTATCATTAATACCTAGCTGAAATAAATCATCTCTACAACTTAAATAAAAAATCAACTATTTAAATGATTATTTTAATAATTAAGTACTGAAATTTATTTATCATTTATTTTATTATTATATTATGTAAATGCTTGACAAATAATTCGATTTTAAATATCAATAAATAAATAAATCGATTCATCATTTGGTGTGCAGAAAATGTTTAATAATTACAAAATAATGAATTTTATATTTTTAAGAACAAAAAAAAAAAATGTTAATTTAAATCACGCTGTTATTCACATTAAATTATTAATCTATAAGGGTACTAACAGCATTGTGTTTATATTAAATAATAATAACAAAAAAAAAAAACTGCAATGTAATTTTACATTTTGCATTTATCTTAATCAACAGGAATGGAAAACTTTTTAAACACGTATTAAATAATTGATTTATTAAATTTGAATTTACTAATCTATTATATTTAGTCAATTGACTAATCAACTATAATAATAATAATAATAATAATAATAATATTATTATTAATAAGAATAATTATCGAAATTTATTACAAATTAAATTTCTTACTCGTAAATCAAGTATATAATATAAGTGTATCAAATATAAATATATGTATTTATAGAAACATTTATACTTTTACTTTATTTTTATATAATAATAATTATCAAATTAGTCGCATTTGCATTTACTTTATTCACAAGAAAAAAAAAAAAAAAATTAAATAATTAGTTTTATTTGAATGGATTTATTTTTTTTCAATGTGTATTTATATTATGTGAATTATTTTTTAATAGAAGGTTTTATTTTTTAATACAGGGTTAGTCGTCTAAGTTACTAATATGTAAAACTTCACGTTGAGTTAATCCGGCTTTGTGGAGACTTAGTAACTCTATAGATGGATAGATAACTCTCTTGGGGTAGCTTGTTGTTATTTCAAAATTCGCTGGTGAATCGGGTTGACTAAATATCCAGTTGTATACGTCCTGTAAAAAAAATTGAGATTATCAATTAAAATATAAAAATTAAATGTATTTTATCTATTTTTTTTATTTTGACTATCTCTCTTTAACTAGAGATTTACGAATTATTTATTTATTTGTAAAGAAACGCCCTCGGTAATTTACAAGAATATGTTACACTTTCATGTGTAGAATGTTTAGTAATGTTTATATGTAATAAATAGCACCTGTAAAAAGAAGATAGATTTAAGATTTAAGAGATCTGAGAGAAGAGAAAAACAAAAAGATAAAATTTTTTAATAAGGTAAAGTACCCAGTACTTAAACACTTCTAAAAATGGGACCAGTAGTTGAACAGACTTTTAAAATTGCTGTAATACAAAATCTGTATACATATTATGAGTCATATGCGCATTTTATAATTATTCAATGATACAGTAATTGATTTTGATAAGTTTTTTCAATTATAAATCAAAACAATTACATTTTTGTTAACTTTAAAGTTGACATGTCGAGAATCGCCGTTAGATGTTATTTTTTTCATGAAAAAGGTACTAAGCCGTAAACCGAACAAACAGTAAAAAAAACGGTGTATCATCATTTTAAGTGAAAAAATTTGTACCACCCAATGAAATAGTCTTTTCTAAATAATACATATTTTTTACAAAGACATTAACTATAATTTTTATATTAAATTTTAGCGTTCAACTATACCTCCCAATTTTCAAAGCGGTACCCAGAACTTGAACAAACTGGGACCGTATAATTTTAACA